ATGAAAAGGGCCTGGCAGAGGAGCGTGGGACTGTGGCGTGCGCAAGGGAGGCTGCGATCCGGCTGCGGCTTCAGCAGAGAGCACGTCAGCACAGCTGATGCCACAGGCTTAACTGCCCTGGTGCCCCGTGATGGCTTCTGCTGAAGCAGCTTCAGTTTCGTCCCGAAGCGAAGCACACGTAACTCTCTCTGAATTGTGCTACAGAAACTTGGATTCTGAATTTCATAGTGATGGTCAGACAGAGTAACCTTTTATTGCTGTGTATCTGTTAAATGAGACTGGAAATCTCTTTATATCGTAAAACATCTTTGAGTCATGAAAATATAGTACTAAATGAGTTCAGACTGTGAGAAAAAGGGACAAGAAAAATATCTCTTACGGAAAGACCCAAGCAAAGCTGAATGCAGTTACTGAATGGTTGTAAATAGAGCGTTTTGAACAGCAATGGTAAACGCCAATTATTGCAAATATGTGTTTTGACCAGTTTACTTTTATCTCTCAACCAAAACATTCCCCACAATTGTTGTGGGGTTTATATTTTAGTCAGTGAGGTTTTGGATGATTGTGTAAAAGTATAAACGTTAAAGAAAGTTATGATTAGAGTTGGACAATAAACAAGAAAAAGGGAAATAGTAAGTTTTATTAAAATCAGATGTTGCCTTTTTTTATTGAAAGTATTTGTTGCTACAGAATAAATGAAGGCTGGTAACTGAAAACATTTAGCGTGACATTACGTTGTAGAAAGCCTATGGTTAATTTTTTCTGACGGTCACCTCATGTTCCTGTTGACTTTATACAGATCATTTTTGGAATATTTAGGTGTGTATTTAGATTCTGTATGTGCACATACCAAACCAGTGTGTTCCTGCAAGACCTAAGAAAAACAGTGACAATTAACACAAGCCTCTTTATCTAAAATTCTAGATGTATTGCAGTATTCTCGTTCAGAATTGAAATTCAGTGTTTATAAGTAGTTATCCTACAAAATAAGATTTTTTTTTTCTGTATTTATAAATGCCTGAAATACAAAGCATTAAAATGGTTTTAAGGATATACAGTGTACTTCAAAAAAATTCAGTGGCTTCAAAATAACTTTTCTTTACAGTTTGAGTTTGCTGTAGGTACCATACACATTTTTAAAACATGCTGCAACCCACCCCCAAATAACACCCCGGTAAAACCTTCATCCAGTGATAATACTGGGTACTTTCAGTCTTCATTGTGGTCAGTGGGGAACTGGAGCTTTCGAGCTCTTAGTTCTTAATTTTGCTTGACTCTTATTAGAAGAGTCTTGAACCACACAAATGGTTTGCAATTGTGTCACAAAATTCCAAAAATAATTTCTTCATCATGCGCTTGACCGAATCTTATACCAGCTCTGGATTATTTTTAAGGAAAGCATGATAATATGAAATGTGAGGTTTTTAGGCTGATAGTGAGTTATTTACTACCAAATTTTCCACAAACAAACAGTGAATAAAAAATAAAAATAACCAAGTGTAGATCTAGAGAGCACTTTAGAGGCTGAGTGGTTCAAATGTGAACTGCCAGCAGCAAAAATCAATAAGAGACTATTTTTTAAATATAGGCAATATTTATAAATATATGCCAAGTAAAGTGGAAATTAAAAACCAAAATATGTCCTTTAAAAGCAAACTGTTTTTTTCCTCACTGTGCAAGACAGTGCTTTTTTACTTTCTTCTTTTTGCCAGTTTGATATTAAGCGAAAGGAAGCATTTTCCACTCCAGACCAGGTGTTAGGAAATTGGCTTTGCTTCTTACTGCAGTTTAGAGGTTTCTTAATCAGTTCGCTGATGACCACTGAATACTACCTGTGGTATTCTGCAAACGGGTTTTATCCTCCAGTATCCCACAATGGCTAATACAAATTTTTGCAGCGACTCCTTAAAATTTTACTTTGGTTTTTCAAAAAAATACTGTCTTCTTGTAAATAATTGATAATATTAAGAATTTTATTTTTTAAATCTTTTTAAAGTTTTGGGCCATCTTTACCTTGGTGAGTCAAAATGCCTCAGTTTCCATTTTCATAGCTTTTAAATTCAATTTTGAATGCTCTTATCCCATGTACCACACATCTATTAATACAACACCCTCATTCTTGGTTAGGTTAATTCCTTTGCTCTGAATGCCAGATTACTAATAATATGCCCTTAAAATGTTTCCCTGCCCGTTGCTGCTGCTGTAACATATATGCTGATGTAAAGCAGAAACTGAACAAAGTCACAGTTTTCCTGAGATTAGAAGTAGCCAGGCTGGCTGTCTCCTTGCCTGCTGCTACCCGCTTCCAGCATTGGGCCACCCCCATGCCACAGTTTAGATATTATTTGCTTTTTTGGGTTTCAGATTACGAGAGCAATTGATCTGCGTGACCTATTTTAGAAACTTTCACATTTGCTGGGGAAACTTAAACCAAATGTATCCCCTCAAGAGACAAATCAGCTGAAGACTGGCCAGTTGACGTTTGGAGGCAGCCAGTGCTCCTCTGCAATGAATTCTGGTAGGACAGCACCACCTCATGGCCTCCTACTAAGTCACCATCCAAACCCCTTTATATAGCAGGTTTCACACTATTACATTCAGAGCCGAAGCTCTTTCATGAGCTGTATTTTTAAAAAGTTCGTAACCCTATCTACTCAAAGGTAGTTTGTAGTGGGAAACTTCTCCATAGGAGTCATTTCTGCATCAAAATTTTTTTAACTAGTCTTTCCCAACTGTAATAGTTTAGGTAAGAGCCCAAGCTCTTAATTTTACTATAAGCAGAAACCAAATTCATATTAAATAAATTGTATCTATTCAGTTTGGGTTTTATTACAGATTTTTGAAAACGCTTGCCTTCATTACATGTACTAACCATGGAGAATGTCCTTTTTTTTTTTTATGGTTGCTATGATTTAGACATTGGAAACAGTTTTTTCTGTACTAAAAACAAGTTTATGTTCTTACGCCAATTACTGTATCTCCTCCTAGTACTGAGACTGTACTGTTTTTGGACAGAAACATGCAGTCCCTGTACATGACGTAATGTCTTACTGAAATTCTTCATTTCTTCTGAAATGGGCAGTGGATATGTTTGGGTTGACTGTATGTTTGGAATCGAAAACATGATAGGTGTCTAGATATTAGTATTGTAACGATCTTAAATTTTCTGCTATTTGCAGAGGAGATTGTAGAATGTAGTCACCTTTTCATGTATCTGTAGATGGAATCTATTTGGGTAAGACATTTGAAGATCAGGTGCTTTTGGACATACTGAGAAATCAAATGTAAAACTTTTTTTTTTTTATGGTTAATAAGACACTTCCATCAGCAGTGCTTGTAAATGCTGCTGGATCGACAGTAAATGCTGTGTCTCTTACGACTTTTGCAAGAGCCTTTCTATTATGTTTTGGTTTTAAGTATTTTTAAAGCTTCCTTTAACAAAGTACGTCTTTTAAAAATTCAGAGCAGCAATATAGTGCCAAGTGTAACAGTCAATTTTATATGGTAGTAAATAGTTACTTATTGTTCTGGTGGAAGAGTAAACGATAAAACGCTATGTTCAATTAAAATGACTATTCAGCGCTGTCGAATTCTCTCTACAATATGTCACGGGAACCTACTCCAATCATTTTAATCGTAAACAATGCTGCTGCTTCTTGCAGTGGGTTAAACGTATGCAAATTGGAACCTACTGTTTCATGAGTGATCAATTCTTTGTTGGGAGTGGAAAGAAATGTTGTATGTATTGCTAAGATACTGAAGGAAGCATAGTCAGCGTCTTCATTCTAAAGCACATGCATCTTTTGAAGATGCTGCTTTGGAGGGAATGCTTTCCTGTTTCTCTTCTTATTTAAAAATAAAGCCTGCTCTAAAATCATAAGAAAAATCTCTAAATAGAGGACTACCATTTCTAGTGAAGGCCCCAAGTGTAAATAGAGCTGTGCATGCCACCTGTGGTAGCAGATGGCAGCCATTCACAGCTTCCTTTTGTGTTGGACCTGCATTATATGCAATATTTGCTTTTATGTTTTAATAAGAGTTGTTTAAAAAATCTGCAGTGGAATGAGACGGATATATGCATCAAAAAGGTACCTTACAATGACGATAAACTTTTTGAAGTGCAAACTGGAACCTAAAGTAACTTTAAAAAAGTTCCATTACAGGCTTTAATGTGAACTTAGTGTTTCTTACTTGCGTGATGCTGACGCTTTTGTTGCCACCCAGTGGAAAACTGCTGCTGCTTCACTGTAGAGAATCAATTGGTTTTTCATGATCAGAGCTACAGTTGGGAGTTTTTAAATAACACCTGGAGCCTCCAGCTCCAGTACCTCAGCTTAGGAGGTTATAAGTTTCTTAAGTTGTTTCTAAATATACATCCTTTCATGGCAGATGCATCTTTTAGGAAGTTCCCTGCTGGTGCTGTCCAGCTTCTGTTCTCCCTTGTGCTGACACAGGTATTTGTAGAGCTGAAATGAAAAAACTGATTCTTTATATTTGGTCTTAAGTGTTATTAACTCACATTTCCAGGGGAGTAATTTAAAAAGCAGTTTGTTTCAGTGTTTTGGTGTGTGGTATTGACCCTCAAGGGAGTGCCAGTGGGAATGGGAGGAGGCAGAGCCTGGAGTCTCGTAAGTGGTTGTTGTTGTCATCAGAAAGAACATAACGCTCCGTATTCTGGTAGTGAACAGAAGCTCGAGAACATGCTGTTAGTATAACGATATAACTGATGTTGGCAATATTGTGAGGAAAGGTATTTTTTTCCCACGATTCTCATAAAAATGTCAATTATATCTGGAAATTCAGTAGTGTTCTTCCCCATAAGATAAGTTTAGTTTTAGTATAGTGCAAGAATGCTGCAACTATGAAGGGCATTCCTCTAAGCTCTTCTATCCCTTCAGGGAAAAAAGGAAATAATTTCATTATTTCAAGGTTGAAGGAGAGGCTTATTTCTCTGCTCCAGACTTTCGGAGAAGAAAAAAGCTAATTTCCAGGGGCAGAGAATGGGAACACTGACAAGGGGCCAGTATTCAGATGTGTTTGTGCTTCGTCTTCAACTTACTTTCACGTATCCCTTTGATGACTGTGTCAACTGGTGGTATAATTGTTTTGAAAACAGGCATATACAGCAAATAGGAAGTTGCAATTATGACGAATGGGTAAATGGAGTGGAAAAAATGGATATGCTGAAATGCAAGGGGGATTTAAAATTCTTCTAGGTCTACTTGAAAAATTAATTATGGAAGATACAAAAAAATTAGCCCAGAGGCAGTAAAAAGCAGGGGAGGAGAGAGAGACTGGCTGGCCAAGAAAACTGTTGCAGAAGGGAAGACTTTGTAGAGATAAAGTCAGGTTTGGCAAAATTCACAATGGGTTAACTAATGGTATTAAGCCCCCCCCTTAAAAATTGTTTAGCTATGTAAATAAAAAGACAGTTAGCAAAAAAGTGGGTGTGTCATGCAGCTGGAGTACAGACTAAGAATAATTTAGACATGGTCTCCAGACCAAATTAATAAGGAAAAAGCCATGGACTAGCAGGGTAAAAGCTAGATATTTACTGGGAACCAGAGCATGGAATTGGAAATAGAAAATTTCAGAACTTTAATGCAGTCAAATTGTGGTTATCAGATAATGTCTGTGTTGAGTTCAGACATAGTGGATTTGAGAAATCCCAAATTATGATGGCAGCTATTTTTAATGAAAATACATTGAATTGAAGATGGTAGGATCTGGGGCAAATTTTATGCCTATAACTAAGTCAGCAGAGGGAAACTGATAATGGCATCAGCAGGGCCTGACCCAGAAGTGGTCAAGGATTCAGAAAAGATTTTAAGGGAAAAAGATAAATAGAAAACAAGATGCAATGCAGTGTAATTTGCTATCTTACTAAAAATAGGATGTGCCCAACCAATTTGATGCTTTAAGAAAATCTGCTTTTCCCTTGTTAAGATGACCTGGTATCTGATGGTAAAGTGACGAAGTGCTAATAGGAAGTCTAGAGGAGATTAGCAGAGAAAATATTAACAGAATAAGATGAATAAGCAGAAGCAATGCTTCTGTGTTGAAAGAAGTGTTGGGCTGAAGAGAGGTTAATAGTGGAATTACTTTTTGCGTTCCCCAAACTTAAGAGCAGTACTAAACAAGATGAGTTTTAAAATCAATCCCAGATTAAGATGGATCGGTTAAATTCACTGATGAGGGAATCCTGAGGAAGGAGAGGGAGGAGCACGATAGGTTACAGCAAGTGCTGCGTGACTCTGGGGCCTGGAGTTGTGGGGAGAAGAAATTCAGCAGTAGAATATGTACTTAGAGACCAAAACAAAGAATAAGCTCAAAACTAATCAATGAAAATTATATTTCCAGCTGAGTTACAAAGTAACTAACACCAGTGAATGCCCTTCTAGCCACCTGCATTGGAAAAGGATGAATACAAACTGGGGCATATGCAAAGGAAAGTTACAGGTTCGGCAACTTCTGAACTGTCTCGTGAGAAGAAACGAAAAGCTTGGGTTGTTTGTCTGGGGCTACAGAAGTTAGAGGGAGATAGGATTATTGATGGTAAACTTAAACACATGCAGGGAAACAGAGCTTTTAAGGTAAAGGGCTGTTTTGAAGCAAGAACAGATGGATAGAAGTTCGAAATCTGTAAGCCTGGAAATTTGATGGTTCTTATTCATAATAAGAGCAGTAGGATTCTAATAAAGCCATTCTGTTGCAATAGGGATATCCTTCATTACCTTTAGGCTGGAGCTTGATACCTTTGTAAAGAGTGTATGGTCTGCCTCTGATAACTCTAGAATAATGGCAGGTTGAAGACCTGAAGATATCTTGAAGATATATATTTGTATCATCAGGAGTATTTTGTGTCTGTAGAACATGAAGCATTGTACCAAAATTAAAAATAAAATAAAATTTATATTCCCTGTTATGCTAGTGAGACCTTCTTTTTCTAAAAATTGTTTAATTTTGTTGATATGGTAATGACAAATTGAATTCCAAACTGTGCCCCTAGTACATGGTAAGAAAAGGCAAAAGAGAAACAGCAGCAGTGCAGGATTGCAGAAGATGCTGTTAGAATTTGAGGGAAAGTAGAACAAGAAGTCTCACTTCTGATGCAAATCTTGGGAACTAAGAGCTTGATGTGAGCGTGGGCATAATGGTGTCATTCTAAATTCATGAAAATAGCTTTACAAATGAAGGAGAGGCAAAGTGGGGTCAGTGCAATTCAAACACACGATGACAATTTTAGCCTAAATAGAATGCTCTTTGTGGCTAGATGAATTAATTACTGTAAGACAGTGTTCTTGCTTGTCATTCTGATTCTTTCTGCTTGTTAATCACTCCTAAATTGTAGCTATTGCAGTAATATTAAGATTTATTACTTATGAAGTTTTGCTAATCTCTTTTCTAGTTTAGTGTTTGTTCACTAAATGTTATTTAATGTAAATGTTTTGAAATGTTTCTTATTTTACATTTCTACTCTTTGTTGTCTGTAGTACTTTCTGCCTATTAAGTATTATTGTTCTACTGAAACACTATAACTGTTTTAAATGTTTTGCTTTCATAAGTCAAGCTTAATTTACCTATTCAGCAAATTTCATGACATGCCAAGTCTGAACTGAGAAGGAGATTACTATACAAAAAATAAGTTCCAGTGACGATGAGAAGGAACATCTGTAGAATGGCTTAGCTTATTCTTTGTGCCTCGTTGATCTTGTAGTGTTTTCAGTTTTTCTCTTCTTACTGCTTATGACAGTGCTAACACTTAAGGCAACTTTGGATCTACTGGAGGTACTAATAGAACTCGCTTTGCTACGGATGGGATGAAATTTCCTGTCCTGTTAATCACATAGAAAACTTTAAATGTGAAAACTGGGAAAATTCTTATCTAATACAATGAGTTGTAGTAAAAATGAAAAAGAGCAAATAATAATAGGGAAATGTATGCGTATTTATTTCCACAAGGAAACATTTTTAGTTGTACAAATCGCTGTGGTCTTACTAAGTACATTTTTTTTCTCTTACTTTTTTCAAAGAGCTGCTGATCTTTTGAAGAAAATAATTGGGGGAATTAATCTTCTATTTATCCAAACTATTCTGTGTTCTTTGTGGGTTTTTTGTTTGTTTAATTACAAGGAATTTGCATGAAAATAGGATTTTAAGACTTGAACAGCTTCTGATGCGTTTTCCCAGATACATGGAGTCAACTGTATTTATTGTATTTGTAAACTAAAACAACTATTGTTTTGTAAAATTCCTTGCATGCTTTTTTACACTGAATTATTAATGAATATTTCACAGTTAAAACGCTATTTGATAGATTAAAAACGTTCCCCCTGCCTCACCCTCAAAAATATATACCACTAATGTATATAATTCTTCCCTCTCCTCCTCTCCCCCATCATGTCTCCTTCAAGACCTGCAAAGGAAGTCATATTGGTAGTCATCTCATTTCTGTGGCTAATTAGGTTTCTGTAGTTCTTCCATTCTCTAGGATAAGAAGCATCTTATGCTACAGCAAATCTTTTAAATCAGACTAAAGTTTGCAAAAGTTCTTTTAGATTTTTAGGAGTTTTTTCATCTTTTCGAAGGATCTTTCTAAAGACTTTTATTAAATAACATCAAGAGGATTTATAGAAAAATTCACAGTGAAGTAGAAATCCAGAAGTAGAAATTTGATAAGGATGTATACTCTGGCAAAACTTACTAATGATTATCAGATGATAGAGAAACTGCTTTAGTTTAGGCACAAACTGGTCGCTCTATTATGGCAAAAACAGAAAGGAGAGGGATAGCACCTTGCTCTACAAGTTCTAATGACTGGACTTGAATATTTATATCATGTCTCATCAGTAAAATGTTTAAAACTTTCTTATGTGCTCTTCTAAAATGAATTTATTTTCGCAAATATAAATTAGGTTCTGGATTGCCAGTTTAGATAATGTTTTGTGCTGTTATTATCATGTTTAATATTTTAAATGTTTAATATTATTCTTGTACTTAGTGTTTAGTTTATGCTTTTTGGATAGAAGACATGTATTTTTGCTACTTTTCTCTGAGATGTCCTTGCATACAACAGATCTTTTTTAGGTTGTTTTGATATATTAACTGTTTGCAAAATGTAAAAATTCTGTTATAAAAGAGTACATTTTGTGATTCTGTTTAATTACAGAATAAGTAATTTTACAAATTCATGTTGGAAGTGTGAAATACTGACCTTTAAACATAAAAGTAATCAGTTATCTGACTGAAGTTTTAATTATTATTTTCTATTTAGATTTCTCATATTGGAAAGCTGAAAGATTTTCTTCTGCAACACAGAAAGGATTACATTAATGCTTACAGGTAAGTGTGCATTGTGTTTAAATAGAATTATTTATTTTCAGATTTATAAAGTGAACAGCTTAAAAATCTTTAGGCTTAATAACTAAAAACAAAGTGTAGATTGCTTATTAATTGGCTTACTGCAGGCTACTTAAGATGAAGAATAGTGCTGTCACAGGAAGAAGGTGGTCCTAAATAAAATGAGACTCAGGATTTGAAGAAGATTTCTGGCTCTTAGGAGTGAGTTCTGAAACAAAACAACCTGGCAGTCCAAGTCCGACACCTTTAAAGGACCTGTAGAGTAGGTTTCTGAAGTGATTCCCGAGACAGCAGAATACTGGGTTCAATGATCCAGGTTTTCCCTTTCGCGCTGTGACACTAACCCGACCTGTTATCAGTAAGTATACAGTCAGTAGCATCAGCAGGTCCTGGAGGAGAATGATGCAGACTCTTCAGGCTTCAGACTCTCGAACGTGAATTCCAGATGAGGGACACCATTGAGAACACAGTGTCAGAGGCAGCACAGGATTTGCTTTTCTGTGACAAAAAACTGTAGGCTTCAGTTCTGGTAGTTATCACTTAAGACAACTAAATGTCTGTCCTCCCCGCCCCATCATCCCACACAGCACAAAATCCATTTGGTTGGGGTTTTGCGGGGAGGGGGAGGTGGGGATGGGGGGTGGGACATATATCCAAATGAAACACTGTAGATAAGCTTTCCCTTTTAAAGGATCTTCTGAAATTTCACAGTTTCCTGGGTTGTATTTCTCCAGTCCCTCAACATAAGTGCAGTGTTGCATGGGGTGAGTCAGCCCTGTCTGCATTCTGATTCTGCCGCAACCCTGACTAAAACTAAGTTCTTGCTGCAACCAAGGTAGAAAAAATGCAGTCTAAAGTCATCTTGGGTTGAAGACACTGAGTCCCAAGTCAATTTAATGCCTTTCTCCAAAAGGCTTCACAGGTACCAAATAGGAGCATTATCCAGCCATCCATCCCCCAGGACAAGACAATAGAACAGATGAGCTGTCTGCTATTCCTTAGGCTTGGTGCATACTGGAGGAACAGTCTTTCTGAGAAACAACTTCTAGGCCTGAAAAGCTCTGTCACAGCAATAGCAATACTATACAATGGTGTGTATATATATCTCATATATATCTATAGTGGTATCAAAATGTGTCCCTAAGTAAGTTGCCAGAAGATTTCTGGCACCTTTTTTTTTTTGTTTCCTGGAGATTTTAAAAGCAGTAATTTTTTGTTTCAAAAATGAAGCAAAGCAAAAAAAAAAATTATTTTGGCATGTTTTATAAGTGTAAGGCCAAGACCTATTTGTAATCAGTGCCGGCAAAAATGAAGCTCAGGGGTGTGGGTGTCAAGTCTGATGCGCAAGGTGTAGCAGGAACTGCCTTCCCAAGCAGGAAGGAGGAGTAGCATACAGCTACATGTTATGACTCCCTCTCTGCTGTTCAATTCCTGTTTGAATAGGTCATGAACAACACTAGGTGGAGCTACCAATTTAATACTGAAATAACTATTTTTACTGTGTGAAAACTTCATGTGAATGCATAAGGTGAGAGACTGCAAATAATTGCAGTAAGAGCAAACAGTCAGTAGTGGTTAAATTTTTGGGTACTATTTGTGTTTTATTAACAGTAGTGTGCCTAAAATTGAAGTCATAAGCTATTTTGGTATCCTAAAAGTTTTTTATTGTTCTTCTTGTAAACTCCTTTAGTGATTTTTCACCCCCCACATACCTCAGGTATTAACTAAGGAGAGGAAGAAAGAAGTGTCATTTCCTCCAAATCTCACCTGTAATTGCAGTTGATCCTGTCCTTAATGGTCAAACTTAAAATAGATACTACTGTCAACTTCTGTACTATATTGCTTATGGTGTTCTACTCTGTGGGATGCAAAGAAGATGGATCATAACATCCATGCTGATAGTCTCGCAGTTTTAGCAAATGCCTCACTCATTCTAGACGTCAGTTTTAATAACTTTTCAGTACTTAAGCTATGGGGAAAAAGTTTCAAAAAATTTAATACTGTGCTGGAATTTATGTAGGAAGTTTTAATTTTGTTAATTAAATTTGACTACTCTGTATTTTGTCAATCCTGCTATTTGTTTTTCAACTTGTAGCATGGTGTGTTGGTGAAATTCCGCTTTTGAGTTACCAGGTTGAATTATTGTGTGCCTTGTAAAACTTCTTCATAATGTATTACATTGAGGTCCTTGATTGCTTCTTTGACCTTGCTTTTGCGGACTATAAATTCTTTATTAATAGAGTTTTTATTTTTGGTATACATCAAATATCTTCCTGTAGAGGGGATGTCTTTAATTCATTTTTAGAGGAAGATCTTTAGCAATGTGAAAGACAACTGGAAGAAGGGTTAATTGAATCTAAGGCCCTGACCCATTTTATCAAACTTTAAATATTTAACTGAAATACCTGAATTGAGTCCAAAAAGCTCAAGAATTAGTAATTGCTTATTCACCTTCCTTCTTGATTTGACCGTTAGCTATAAAATATGTGAATGGCAAAACACATGAAACTAGTGATGCAGTAATCTAAGCTTACTGACTAACAAGCCATTGCACCTTTATCGTCCCCTGCTTATCAGGATTCATTTGCTTTCTCTTAGACCTTGGTTTTTGTCTTTCTGTCATAAGGAACTTTTTTGTTTTTTCTTCTTACCTTTTTTATCCTGTCTACTGTGATTCCTCTCCTCTGGATAGAACTTCTGAGAGCTTTGGCTGTACCAGAGATGTGGCATCATCTTCCATGACAGCATGAGTTACGATGAAAAGAAACTTCAAAGTGGCCTGTTAGAAAACTCTCACTTACAGAAGGGCACATATAGAAGCTCCTGCTTCAAACTTCTCTCCAAATGTGTGGTTATTTCTTGTCATTTGGCTTAAAAATTGGGAGTTGTATTTATCCTAAAATCTGTGGCAGTAATAGTGACTTTCATTTTAAGGAAAAATAATTAATGAAAACACTGAGTAGCAAAGACTATGAGTGATTCATGTTGTTATTGGTTACACCTATTAAGGGAAGGACCAATAACTATATGTACCATTGCTTTTATATAACATTACAGCCTTGTCTTAAAGAAAAAGAACTTAAATAATTTTAATTATTTTCTTGCTGGCTTCATTACATATTTCAAACCTAATGAAGCTGGTTGGGTATCATACTCACTATCAGTGAACACAGTCAGTGGCAGGGTGTTTTATAAGAAATACGTAGCTAAATCATGGGACGTTGCATCATTGCTGTTCCTGCTAATAATAGCTGTTTCTGAGCTGTCACTTGTGATGTTGTTAACTGCAGTCTCACTCCAAGAATCTTTGGAAAGAAGTGAAACTCAACAATCAAGAAATGCTTTAGGACATCTCAGAGTATTTGAAAATTAATTAGTTTCTATTGGAAAATGCTCTGACAATACTTAAAACCAGCAATGGTAAACAGTATTTGGCTGTTTGTTCATATCTGGATTATGGTTTATCTCAAGGACTTCTTCACCAGCTTTTTGAAATAGGCTTATTAAGCTTCAGAGTGGTGTTTAGAAAGCACATATGGGGTATAGTCCTTGAGGAAATGTGTAAGAAAAATAACCAAGGACTTTTCCTTTAAACAGAACTGATTAACTTTTTTTTTTAAGTTTATTTGATAATCACAAAAGTAATTTTCAATTGATGAGTAAATATGGTAAACACCAGACATTAATATATTAAAAAATTATCCCTGCTAAATTGTGATCTTTAAGGACTTTCCCAGCAATGTTGCATTTTGATAATGATTTGCTAATATGTATCGTTAGTTGAGTTAGCGATGAATAGTACCTTAAAAAAAAAAAGGTCCCTTCCTGACTCTGTGAAGTCTGAATATCAGCTTTTCTCCTAAGTGATATGCTGATGAGACTTTATTGACTGTAGTGGAATAATTTCTCATTTATGCTACTATAATAGAAAAATGAATAGTACATTTCCTTTTTTAATTTCTGTAGAGAATTAGCTGTAAGGGTAGGTGGCTATTTATTTGTCTCCCTTTGGTCATAAACTGTTTCCAGCAGAACAAGTCAATCATCCTTCCTGGAAAGGAGAAGGAAGGGACTCTTGGTTCCTGAAGATGTTAACAAGATGTGGGTGCTTTTTTAAATTTGTGTTTGTTAAGCAAACTGTGTTCATTCCTTTCAGATGAGGATTGTTACTTACTGTCCTGCTTTAGACCCAGCCGGCAACTAAGCCCCACGCAGCTGCTCGCTCACTCCCCCACGGTGGGACAGGGGAGCGAATAGGAAGAGTAAAAGTGAGGAGATTCATGGGTTGAGATAAAGACAGTTTAATAGGTAAAGCAAAAGCCGTACACACAAGCAAAGCAAAACAAAGAATTCATTCCCCACTCCCCATGGGCAGGCGGGTGTACAGCCATCTCCAGGGAAGCAGGGCTGCATCATGTGTAATGGTCTCTTGGGAAGACAGACACCATCACTCCGAACGTCCCTCCACCCCTTCCTTCTTCTTCGTCCCAGCTTTATATACTGAGCATGACGTCGTATGGCATGGAATATCTCCTTGGCCAACCTGGGTCAGCTGTCCTGGCTGCGTCCCCTCCCAGCTCCCTGTGCACCCTCAGCCTTCTTGTTAGCAGGCCGGCATGAGAAGCTGCCCTGTCCTTAACTCCTTAGCAACAACTGAAAATGTCAGCACGTTATCAACATTTCCCATCCCAAATCCAAAACACAGCCTCACACTAGCTTCTGTGAAGAAAATTAACTCTATCCTGGCTGAAACCAGGACACTTACCTTCCCATTTTTAGTGTGTGACTGCTGTACATTCTTTATATTCTTCCTCTTAGTCCATTTGCTGTAATTCATTCCTACATTGCTTTCTACACTGTGCTGTGTGAGACCCTATCTTCAGTCTTCGGTAAGTTGTCTAATGTTTCATCTGTGAACAGATTACACCTTTGCTTTTTGTCATTGGCTACTTCCTGGTTTTGACCATTGAACCACCAAGACA